GGTGTTGTTTTCTTGGTTTGATGGCTCTTGTGATTTTAGTTTTGGAGTAGCCATTTGGCTGTAGGGCCCAATTCAGATGGTTGAGTTATCCCTCTTTTTTGCTGTGGGTGGTGGCAAAACACTGGTAGACCGTGCAAACCGGAACTGTGAAGCTCAGTTTCTCAGCACTGAACTCAACCATCTGAATTATATTTAATTATATTTAACCAACTGATTATATTTAATGACCAAATTTGGTGTTAATGTCATTTTCAGAGATTAGGTACAGCTCTCTAAGCTCCAAGGGTGTGTGTGTATGGTCCTCATATCTCTGAAAGTTGCCCACCCTTGCCCCAACACCCATTTTTAAGCTCCAGTATGATAGAATTAATATCACTGAAATCAGTGGGACTAGTCATAGGTATTGTGTTCAGAAGATGGTACTGTCGTATTTTCCATCATTGCTCTCTATCGTGCAGGTGAATTACAGGCCACCATCTATACTGGGAATTACTGTTCCACTCACAGAAAACTTTTACAATGCTGACCCAAGCAAGCCTAGAATGAGAGACTATTTCGAAAAATCTAAAGTACGTAAGTAGCCATTGCTCCTGTAGAAACTTGGCAGAAGATTAACTATATAATCTTTGGGGTGCCTTCTAATTCTCAAATTCTTTGATTTTTATTACATAAAAGTTTTAAATTAATTATCTGTGTTATAGACTACATTGGCACACATTCCGAATTATTTTATTTATTTGTTCAATTTATATACTATGCCATTAGTGCAAAAACTATGCTGGGTGATTTACACAAAGTTTAAACTTACAAACTCACAATATATCACAATAAGAAAAATACAATTTAAAAACAGCAGAGCAACAGACAATAATTAAACCGTAGATATGAATTATCCTGTAAAAATCTAAAATTGATTGAAAATATTTTTAATGGTTATTGAAGACCTCTTTAAATAATTTGGTCTTTACCATTTTTCTGAATGCAAGGACGGAAAGAACCCGACATATCTCTGTTGGCATTTTATGCCAGAGACAAGGGGACATAATTGAAAAGTCAAATTCCTTTGTCCTCCCTTGATGCAACCACTTTTAACAACATGGATTGAGAGGAGCAGATGGACAGATAACTGATTCCTGAGAAAGATATTGTAACAAGTATCAATGTCCTAAACCATTAAGGGCTTTATAGGCTATAACGAACACCTTGAATTGAGGATGGAAACTAACAGGAAGTCAATGAAGATGTGTCAAGACTGGCAATATGTGATAAAATTTACTGATCCAAGTAATCAGTCTGTACACTAAATTTTAGACCTACTAAGGTTTCCACAGTGTTTTCAAGAGCAGCCCTATGCAGAGAGCATTATAGTAGTTTCTTTTGAACTATAGTTGCTAGGCATTTCTAATTATTAACCCTGTGGCCTCAATCCAATAGTTTCAAATAGAGTAGATTCACTGAATCATTGGGATTTGCAAAATTGTTGACTTTCAACAGTTGAGTTAATGACCTTATTTTCATTGGGATCTACACTCGAATTTAAGCTCATACACCTAGCTTACAAAAAAGGAACACATAATCAAAAATTATATCTAATACAGAGAGTAATTATGTAATCCTCTGACCAGATGAATATTTGTGTGGAACCCAAAAGTTTGCATTAAACCCTTGTCACTGGAATGTGGTCCAGAGACCAGGCATTTTGCTAACATCTATTACAGATTCAACCTCTGATACTTCTCCACATGTAGAGAAGTAATCAATTTTCACATAGTTCTTTGGGGAGAAAAATAATCAAAGGACTTGGGTCCAGATCTGCATAACCTAGTGGTCAATTCATACCACTTTCTAAACTTTGTAGCAAAAGATCAGGATATATGTTGAAGGAGATGGACAACCAGTTCATTATACACTTGAAGTGAAGGCAGTTTATAAACTGTTAAGATCAGTTTGAAATCATCCTCACAGCAAAAACTGCAAACAGCCCCTTTTTTACCCTTTGTGAAATGGTGTGTGTGGGGGGGAAACACAGTTGACCATTTTGTCCTCTTAGAGAACAAAGGTGTCTTTCCTCCTTTGTATGCATATTTGAATTTGGTCTGTTCCAAGTCTGTGTCACTTTTGCAAATGTTCAGTTATATAACCATTCCACCCTGCTTCTTCATTCAGGGGCAGATTCAGGGATGGTGGCAAAAGGGGGCAAACACTTTGGTTTCTCCTACCCAGTTCTCCTACCCAGTTTGATTTCTTATCTACCACTCTCACTGCTATTGCTTCTGTGTTTCTCACTGTCTGTTTCTCCTTCTTTTTTTCTTTCCTTGACTTAAAAAAACAGCATTTTAATTTCTCCAGATGGCCGCTACCTGGTTATGTGAGCCAGAGAGGCACTGGAGAATTTAAGATGCTGGGCATGTCTGTAGCTTCTCTCTGTAGGGCATCTGAACTAAAAGGTTAGAAAAAGAGAACAAGAAAGGAAGGATGCAAGTATCTAGTAAAGGAAGAGGAATCACTGTGGTAGGAGAGAAGCAAGGAGAAAGAAAGCAGAGAGGTGCTGTGGGGACTGCTGGATGTCATTTGGTAGCTTGTTTCCCTTCCATTCATTTCTCATTTCCCTAAAAAGGACTGGCTTTCTTTTATCATGAGAGACAATATATAGCAGCATATGACTGTTATATAGCAGTAAATCAACTCTACTTAAAAGAGAGTTATTTCTGGGCATGCATTGAATGAAACACTTGAAATACTAAAAAATCTCTCACCATTTATAACATCTCATTCCACCAATCATTAATCCTGTATGAGAAAAGTGATGGCTGAAAAATTGCTGACTGGATCAAAGGCCAGACTCATTCAGTTTCAGTATTAATCTACATTATTTAATGTTGTTTACTGTTTCTGTTTGTTAAGAAAAATTAGAAATGTCCTTGCTTATTTATTCTTTACTCACAAAATCTCAGAATGATTGGAAAAACTGACATACATTTAACATGTATATTTTCCCACCACCACAGGCTACTGGGCGGTACAAGCAATGTGCTAACAAGACCAATAGAGAACAGTGTAAATGTACAAAAAATATGAAGCTTTCATTCTCTGTTGCCTTTTCAGATTGTAAAGAGAAGGTAAGAGTCACATGCCAGAAAATTTGGATGAATTTCTTTCTTATTTAAAATATTTAAATAAATAGTTTACACTGCTGGCTTATAATCATAGTATTTCTCACATGTAAACCAGTCTACTGGAAAGACAGGTTGGTACATGGGTTAATAACTCTTTAAGTTGCTTGCAGTGGTAGTATCTTGCTTACCAAGTGATTTGGTGAAGAGGCAAACTGGTAAGATGACAACTTGTTTAATATACAATTCCCTAAAGCACTGGTTCTTAACCTTGCTTAATATACAATTCCCTAAAGAAACAAGAAGTGTTTGTCATATGTAATCCTGTAGTGCCATCTAGTGGATTATTTAATACATTGCTCTGATTTTTGCTATATCAATAATACAGATCACAACTTAATGTGACTACAACTCAGTATTGGGGTTACAACTCATGTAGAATCGTAGAACTGAGACCCTTTTGAATAATTCCAACATCTGTACATTTATGAAAAAGGCAACTGTAACACAGCCAGCAGGCACTTGTGCTATCATCTCAGGGGGCACACAACTAGTCATACAAATGGGAATGTTTACATGATTTCTCTTCCACTCCACTTTTAGGGAATAGTATACAGTATTACCCTGTATTTCAAACACAATATCTTTCTCTCATTCAGAGGAATCTGCATTAGCCCTCCTATTTAGCGGAACTAGCCCATCAAACACATAGTCACGTTTATGTTATCCCATTTAAATCTATAAAGAAAATAATATTCCTGAAAAGTTAATTTTTAAAAATATAATTGTTTTAATTACAGCTCTTTCTATATAACTTTTATTTTGAGGCTCTCAGAATGAAATTCCCTGTAATAAGACTTCCTCTCTATTTCACTATTGAAGATGAGGGTCATTCCAGGAACCTGACATCTCCTTATTTTATCACAATAACAGAAGTCAACAACAGAACAAACTGGAAAGTTTCAGGTAGGAAGCAGAAGAATTTGAGGAGTCTCAAGGACCCTTCCTACCTGAGAAATTCTCCTGGAGATGTCTTTCATGCTGTCCATTCTGTCATGTCACATATTCTTTTGAAAAGGAAAATTGTACTCTCTAGACCTGAGATAAAATAATCTTTAATTGAGTAAAAAGTTGTACTTTCAGATGCCACCTTGAACTTTTGTATATATTTTCTCAAACTCCGGGTGTTAGAAAGAATTATGCAACTGTCTAGTGCACAGTAGTACACCATCTAAGAAAGCTCACAATGCGTAGAAGAAAAAGCCACCTGGACATTCCCATCCAGCTTAGATGAAATTTGAGCAGAAACTCTTATTCTTTCTGTAAGCCTTTTCACAACACATGTGATTAGCCTATTGTCATACCATGCTCCATCCTGACACTTGATAGTATCTCATTAGGTGCGTTTTGATATCTGCTTATAAGCATTAAAGAAACAACTGTTACCTGTTGCGCAACACATGCAGGACTATGGTTCTATAGGACCGTATTGGTTTGAAATACTGTATATGGAAACAGATACCCACAATCCTTCGTGTGGCCCTTCATTATTTGCTGCTAAGAGAAACTACAATCTCCTTTACACCACATATTATCCTGAACTTCAGACTGGAACCAGGAAGTTGTTTGCACCTTTTTGCTGAAAAAGAAAACAATTGTAGCTTTCATTTCCTCTGAAGGTGCAATCTCCAAATTTAATTGTATATTTGTTTACTGAGATGTAAATTCCTCTGAGTTTGATGGGACATAATCTCAAAAGTTTAGAGGACTGTACTTTTGAGATTGTAAGGTACAGAAATCTTCATGCTCAGTACTCAACTGTTGTCTAATTCCAAATTGCAAAGCAGAAAAGAAATGTTATTATTTATGGAAAGAACTGAGATTTTTTTACTTGACTTAAGACCTGTACAAATGGGGGAATTTGGAGTACAGTAGTCTGGTTCATGCTTAAAAGGTTCTTATCTTCAGTGTGATCTATTTTATCTCTGACTTGAATGATCCTTCTGTTCACAATGGAGATGTTCTCCTGTGAAAAGGGTTCATGCAAGTATTCAGATCACCAGCCTACTTGCATGTAAGTGTACCAGGTTTACTCACAAGTAACATTTACCCAGTTTACTCATTAGAAAGTTCACCTGGTTTACTCATGAGTAAGTTTACTAGCTTACTCACAAGTGAGGAGGCAGCAAGGGAGACAGCTTGTGGTGGCGGTACTGATGCTGGAGAAAAATACTGGGGTGAAGTTGGGGAGACAGAAGTGAGGTAATCCCACCCTTTCCCTGCCTTTCTTCTTAGCTGGAGCTCTGCTGGGCCTGGGCTGCCTTGTGTGGGGGAGTCCATGGAGCCAACATAGCTCCCTTCCCTGCCTGTTCTCACAGTTGTCATTCAACCACCTGCAGTGACTTTCGTTTTTTACAACTGCACTGTAAGGGGGGAAAAATTAAAGACAAAAATAGCGGAAGGGTTTTCTCCATCTGCCTTTTTAATGTCATAACCCACCAATTACGTCACAGGGTTGTCACCTCAGATAATGCTGCCCACAGCTCCATTTGGGTGTAAACTAACCATCTGCACTGGTACAGCCAGAGGTCTCCAACCCCCGGTCCGCGGCCTGGTACTGGTCCATGGCCTGGGTTGGAGGACTGGACTGCGGTCACAGATCTTCCACCTCCTCCACAGCCCTTTGCGTGAGCACCCCCAACCCCTTTGTGCATGCACACAAGTGGCCCCCAAGCACCCCTGCCTTTCATGCTTGGGTGCAAGTGTGTGCACTCCCACTCCTTTGCGCATGTGTGTGAGTGCGCACCCACCCACACAAGCAAGCACCTGTCCCTTTGTTCATGCGCGTGAACATGGGGTGTGCCCCACCTTCCCCAACCGGTCCACAGTGTTAAAAAGGTTGGGGACCACTGGGCTACACAATGCAAGAATTAGGATCATGCTGAATCTACCAAAAATAATACCTGCCCTAGTGCTGTGTAAGAAAGATGTGTAACAGCCGTTAAAGGGACAGGATGGGTAGATCTAGGTAGAAACATGTGTCTCAATATGACAGAGTTCAAGAGCTGTCATTCTAAGCTGGTCCTTTGTGCACATGCAAGATCTGTTGTACCACTGACCCTTGAAAACTGATAGAAGTAAAGCAATCAGTTCTCCCTCTGTTCCTTTTTAAAATGTACTTTCCATCCTTGCTGCTTGCTTGCTGGGATATTCTGGATGTTGTAGTAAAAATTTGCCTTTTTTAAGCAAAGAGGTAGCATTTCATAATGCATGGATCTGAGTGCTCCTTCCTTTGTTTATAGAATTCAGTGTCCAGTTAAAAAATAGAATTTGGAGAAAAATGGAACTACTAGTCACTGGCCATTTTAACTGTATTTTAGGTACCAACACAACATCAAGTACATTAAAAATGAAGAAATATTTGGAAAATGACCTTGACATCGAGCTATACAATCCAGATGGTTTGACAATAAGCATAACAGTAAGATTCTGATTAAATAGATTTTTTAGACAGAAAGCTAAAATGCATATCCAACACTTAGTAGATTTGTGCATATTGTGATTTCATATGGACATTTATTGTCAAATGGATGCAACATTTCAGGTTGAATTCTCTATCCACTTGACATAAAATGTCCATATCCGTGACGGCAAGGATTTAATATACCGTATTTTTCGCTCCATAAGACGCACCGCTCCATAAGGCGCACCAATTTTTTAGGAGAAGAAAACAGGAAAATATAATCTGTTTTCTTCGCTCCATAAGACGCACAGACTTTCCACCCCCCTGTTTTGTGGGGGGAAAGTGTGTCTTATGGTACGAAAAATATGGTAAATGATGGTACAATTATTTTAAGACTGTAGTCATTTGCACAATTATATATGGTACATGTAAGAGGCATTCCGGAAATCATCATGTGGTAACTCATCATGTGGGGAAATTGAGCTACACCATCTCACATAGCTGACTGAGGATTCTATCAATTAATTTATTTCACAATTGCAGGGGAGAGGATCCTACAGCTAAGGAATGGCATATTGAATTAACTCTCTCCACATTACAGTTAACTTTCTACACACACTTTTGTTTATTCAGAAATAAGTCAATCTGAATGAGAAAAGAAAGTTATATATTTTTCTTGCTCCTTTGATTTAAAAAATGGCTACAGTTTGATAGAATTTATGTGACATGTCGAAAAGCTAATAATTGTGCTGGAGGGCAGTATCACAGTGATGTTGCGCCCTTTTTAACATGGGTCATCATTCAGCAGCTACCAAATTAATATCAGGTAGTATGGATTGGAAAGTTTAAGCCTTTCCCTGCCCAGTCAGCCCACAAAAGAAACCACATCAGATGAATTCTAGATTAGATTCACAAGAATTACCTTGGACAATCAAACATTTTAATTGACAAGAAAAATATTTGTATCTGCAGAGTCTCCGCAGACATTTGGCAGCATCTGAAAGTCATAGGATCCAAAATACAGAAATAAACTATACCCTGATTTTGACTAAGCTGAACAGTCTCCCTTAATGCCTGTGGTTTCCCATTCTGGCTCCCTCAGTCCAAATAGCCTTGCTTTATGCCAATCAGAGCCACCACTTTCTGTTTTCCTTCATTTTCTTCTAGGATACAGAAGATTAAAAGTTACAGTATTTGACATTGCCAGTTAACAATTCACAGTGCTCTTGAGGATTCTGATTGGTTATCCACAGTATTTTTTTTGGTCAAGGTTACCCTCCTGATGTTAACCCCTTACTAGCACTAAACCAAGACTGCAATAGATTATAATGGCTATACAAAAGCTGTTACCCAGTCTGCCCGCCCTATCACAGTATCCAAAATTCACTGCGGGATTTCCCTTTGGAAATAGATGCCTTACAAAGCACTGGTATTGAGACTGGAAAAGGAAAGAAACCTTGCATGCTAAATGTAACAATGCACTTAATTTCACAGAGTTTGGCCCCTTTTTCAGTTTAATATTTTGGTGATCTTAACTTTGGTATGTATATTATCATATTAAGTTAGTATTCTTGTACAACCTTGCAGAAATGTTATATTTCAGTCAGCCAGTTGTAAGTTTGCATTTGAGTCATGAAAATTTTATTTTTATTTATTTGATTTAATTTAATTTATATACTACCCATCTGGTAGCCAAGGCCACTCTGGGAGATTTATTTTGCCATCAGCAAGGTTCATTGCTTCACATAAATGTACACAACCATGTAGATTAAAAACTGTAATTTTAAAACTACAATAAATATTATTATACATTAAAAAGGATTTTTTTCAACAGGGATCGGAGCTTTTCCATTTCAGGGTATCCACTATTCCCGGAGTCTCCTTTTGCAACTTATATGATGAATTTCAGGTATAGTTATTGGTTACCGGTGGAGGGGAGGCTACCAGAATACAGCACCCTATAACAACAATGAAACAGAGTACTTTTTGTTTTAAATTCTGAATAACCAAGGTGTCTATTTTTGTGGATGTCTACTGCTCAGTTTGGCTGTGAAAAGCCAAGTTAGTTTCCTCTCTTTTATGGGTAGTTTGGAGCAGATACCAACACTGCAGAGTTGCCTGAAAGTTTGCCTGCATGTTATATGCTGTATCCTGTCCCAACTGGAACTCGGAAATGAGAATCCCACAATCCTTCAGCCAGCATGGCCCAATAACTTGGCTAAAAAACCCACAACAACCATTAGATCCCAGCCGTGAAAGCCTTCGCGAATATAACTTGGCTACTACTGATCAATATTACTAGATTCCAAAGCAGTGTCCGCCCACCCAACACACTGTGCAGCTCCAAACACATGTCTCTCCTCGCAGGAAGATAACATTTTCTTCTTGCACATGCACAGACACACAATCTTGCCCCTCCCATTTGCTTCAACACCAGTTCCTAAACATGTGATCATAACAACTGTGAAATAACTGAATATTAGCCAATAGCTGCTAGTGGAGCATAAAGTAATGTTATTATGCAGGATCAGACCTTGCTTGAACAAGTGTAGCCATCATTGAAGCAATAATTGCCGTTATGAATATCCAATACATACTTGTTCAGTAAAATCCCAGATACTTACCTGTGCAAGCAGTAGAAAAGTCAAAACATTCACCCTATGGTCCATTGCATGGATGCTTTGACTCAATCAGATTTTAGTCACATAGACAATCAAGCCTAAAGTATCTATTTCTGCTTACTGGCAGCATCTCTGCAATATTCCAGCAGAGATCTCTCCTAGTCCACTTGCTATCCAAAACCATTTTAAGTGGAGAAACCAGGAAAGGAAGCTCAGTTTTTCTTTGTTTTGTCACTGTACTTTTTTACTTTTTGGTACAATGACAATGAATTTCTTATTTTATTTTTGTCTGATATGCTTGCACAGACTAACATGGCTACCTCTTCTAAAGTGGTCTCTTTATAGAAGACTAAAAATGCTTCAGAGTTTATTGTTCATTAGTGCCACAGCAGACGTTTCTCCAACATCCTGGCATTTGCAAACTCACTTGCTTTATGTTTTGTGATTGGTCTTCAAAACGTAACGATGGAATTCCTTTGAAGTTTTATTCTTCAGACATAAAAAATTACCTCAGTCATTTCTCTTCAATATTAACATGCTTTCAGCTTCAACTGCAGCCCGTCTCCAATGTCTGTCTCTGCCTTCAGATCCTGCCCCATACTGCAGAGACAAGTCTAGGCTCCCTCCTGTTCCACATAATTTATATTTCCCAGCTCTCACCATCACTGATACATGTGTCATTAACCTGCCATTAACACCTGCCAGTTTATAAGAAAGAATTTATGTTTATCATATTTTCTGTTGCAGATTTATGTTGACGATTCTCCACTGGCTTTTCCAGGACAGTATCTTATCAGTTGCATTACAGCTATACTAATAGGAGGTATTATCTTTGTGGCCTTTATTCTGCATATGTATGAAATTCAGATAGGAATTCTTTTGAATAGGAAGTTCAGAAAAAATAAGGTGGCATCAAAATCCTCATTTACTACAGTTTCAGGCACTTCCACTGAAACTAGTGAAAAGTGAGAGTGAACAATAAAAACAATATCCTCATTTTATCAATTAACAATTTAATATACCAGTGATGGATAATTCTTCCCTTTTACATGTTCAAAAAAAGACTTAGAAGTCTTTTTTAAAAAGATGCAAATAATTTTGTTTTTCTGTATCTTAGAAGACATTTTTAGTTACTGTTCATTGTGATTTATTAATTATTTCATTGCAACAAGGTGTGATTTATGTGTAAATGTATGTATACATTTTAATACTTTGTGGGCTGAAGTTGACAAAACCCCATCAAAGTGATATAGCCTTAAATGAAACTAAAAGTATAAGATACTACTAAATAAAACGGATAAAAAATAAATACAAATTAAAATATAAAGTATTATTAAATACACACCCGTGTCTCTGTATAATTTCTGAATCTTATTCCTTGGTTACACTTTCTACAGTAAATGCAGCAAAAGAATCGCAATAATTTGTCATAAATACATGTAAAAATCCTCTTACAACAGTGGAGGAATACAAACACTGTGAGCTGTAAGACCACATTTTGCAGAAGTTGTAGAAAGTCTCTGCTATACCTTATGTCTTAGAAAACACAGGTTAAAGACAAACCCTCTTCTGATTTATGGCTTTATTAATTTTTTTAAGTCAAAGGGGGAGGAATTAAAATCTGCTCTAAGTTTTCTACACAGAGATGAATAATCATAGAAAACCATGGCTGCAATTACAAATGAGTGCTTTATTGATGATTCCCTTTCATTGTATGATTTTTAAAATAATATTAAAAAGAGAGCGAGCGAGCTTTAAAATGATTGTAAAAATTCTGTGGGTCCAATATTAGGAATTATTGGTATAGATCATAACATTAGAAAATAATTGTCCAACAATGTCCGAAGTAGATGTCCACAGGAGTATGCTGCACTGATATCCATCTTTCACATCAGATTGAACACTGACAGAGAAAACAACAATCGCGTTAGTCTTTTGGGGTAACATATGAGCAGTGTAATAAATATCACAGTCCTGGTTTGAGGAAGCCCTCAACAATATATTACCTGAAACAGAGGCGTCCTATGGTAGGAATGTCTACCATAGAGGATTTGTAGGTAGCTTATCTTGCTCACACAATCGGCAGAACTTGTGGGCTTTCATTTTCTCCACAATTTCAGCAGAAGCTGAGTTGACCTCCAAGGAAATGCTTTTGCATAATAACCAAATGGTGCACCCTCCTTAACAAATCACATGCATCCATCTCTCATCCTCAGTGCTCTTCTTTGCTCCCTCAGAGAGCCCAAAGAAAGCCACTTCCCTACCTAAAACAATTGAGTATGAACCAGTAAAAACTAAAAAGTATAAAGACTAACCTAGAGAGAAAACTTGTCTTTTGAGTGAAACAATCATTATTGCTTGGTGTTTCGTTTTGTTTTGAATGGGGGGGATTGGGGGGGAATAAGGATAAAAACAGCTCCTAGTCTTTTAGACTAGGGGTCTCCAAACTATGGCCCGCGGACCACATCCGGCCCACCTTGCTGATTTATCCAGCCCATTCTCTTTAGCCCATGGGCGGGCAGGGTGCATGCGTGCAGGTGGGGACCTGTGTGGATGCATGTGTGCATCTATGTGTGCAGAGGAGTTGATGTGTGGGGGTGGGGGGTGTCCATGCAAGGGGAGAATGCATACATGCAGCCACGTGTATGCGTGCATATTCCTTTGGCCCTCAAAAATATGAAAAATATATGATGTATCCCTCGTGCTTAAAAGTTTGGAAACCCCTGTTTTAGACCTATGAGCTGCACTATATATACAAGCCAAAGAAATAACAGCCACTTTGTAAAATGCTCCAAAGGGGTTTTAAGCTCTTGAGGTTTTCAGTTTACAGATTCTGATAAAATATATCTACCTCAATCAAAGTGTGAAAATGCAAGATTTGGCTAGAAGCCAACAATTTGATGGTATGTACGATTTTCCTACAAAATGTGGTTCTTCTTCACCATGGCCTATGTGATTGCACACAAAAGAACCTCTCGGAATATTCCAGAGCTTCAAGAGAAAAGTAACAAAGTTTAAGTTGCCCCAATAGCGCATGCTCCACCCACCTCAGCCTCCAGTTCCATTTTACCGCCGTCTGGTTAGGAACCTCTCATTTGAGCTTCACAGATTTTCAAATATTTTTCGGTATTTTTTCGACCACAGACTGTTTTGACTTCGCTAATATCTGTTGCCCCGACCTCGGACTGCCTTTTGACTACTCTGTTGTCTCCGCTTTGGATTTATTGCTTCCAGACCAATTTCCCTCTCTTTAGCTGGCCGCGCGACTTCACTTACCTCAGTAAGACTGTTCTATTTACTTACCTGCTTATGTCCTGATCTGGTCCCTTCAGTCGCTGTATCATCTGTTCCTGCAAACTACCCTTCCGAGATGGTCACGATCGCTGTGTTTTTTGTCTTGGGGAGTCCCACCAACCTAGCAGTTGCAGGCACTGTAAAAAAATTCACAAAAGCCATGATTAAGGCACGCCAACAGAGACTGAAATATTATCTCTGGGATAAAACCCTTTCATCATCTAAGCCGTCCAAAATGGAAATTTCTTCTCCCTCTACCACTCCGCTGTCTGAAGCTCATGCAACTTCTCCTCAGTTGCCTTTGACCGCTCCTAAGGAAAAACCCGCCAAAAAATCTTCAGGTTTGAAGATGTCACGTTCCCGGAGGTTACAACAGCCGAAGTCTGATAAGCCAGTCCAGGGTCAAGAATACCAAGAATGCAAAGCCAATGTCCGTAAATCAACTCACAGAATGAAGTCCAGGGTCAGAGTCCGAAGTCCAATACCAGCGTAGTCCAAGGGCAGAGTCCAGAGTTCAGGGTCAGGAACACGGTACAAGAAGCGGGGATGCAAGCCAAGGTTTTGACTCTTTGCTTCCACAGAATTTCTGGTTTCACTGGGAGCTGTTTTATAGTAAAACAGCTCCTTGAGCTACTGGAAAGCTTTCTATCCTGCTAATACTCAGGACTAGATGAACATAGGTTTCTCTGAACAGCCTTTGAGCGATCCTCTGATCTTCTTGTCCTAAGTTTTTCCCGAAGCCTGGCCCGAAGCTTGTCTGTTGTGGAAGGAGAATCTGGAGGCAGTTCAGGTGTTTCTAATCTCACAGCATTCTCTTCAGCCTCAGTTAATCCTTCTGGATCCAGGTCTTCGGATGCACTCATGACAGAAGAAAACTTCTGCTTTGACATTGAAGGCATCTTCCACCGCCTCCACTAAAAGCTCTAAGCAAGCCAAGCCAAGCCAAAACCTTCAACTAAGACCAAAGAATCTCTCAAACAGTTGCCTCCGGTCGTGGCATAAGTACTGTCACTGATACTAGAGGACTCTTCCTGGGACCGGGAATCAATGTCTGAGGCAGTGACCTCATTACCTCCTAAACAAGCGGAGCCTGTTCTACCGGTCGGTGCAATATTCCCGACCCCAAGCCAACTTGTACATGCCACCACAGGTTTGGCTTCTGGCCTGAATAGCCCTGTATCTACCGGGAGGGCATCTTTGGCTCCTTTGTCGGCGTCGGTTCCATCAAGACCGATATTGCCTCCACGTAAGAGAACAAAAAAGACCAAAGATTTGGCTTCCGATCGACACTGATCATCCCATTGTTCGTCTCAGCGTCGACATAGGAAATACTATGACTCAGATGATACTGAGTCTTAGCAAAAGAAACATCGCCGCTGACTATTCTGAATCAGGACTATTCTGAATCAGATTCTGACTATTCTGAATCAGATTCTTCATCGATGTTGACTAATCGTCGTAGACAGAAAAAGAGATTGAGACGTTCATATTCATCAACGTCCTCATCTCCCCCTCCTACATCTCCGCATCGACATCGACAGGACTGAGAAGCGCCTGCATCACTCTAAGGCTACAAAGACCCAACAAGAATCTCTACCGCCTCTCTCGGCGTCGATGGTTACATTAACTTCTCGACACCCTAAGACTACAACTTGATACAGAGAAGCATTGCAAGAGACGTCACTTACCTTCCACATCAGAAGGCGAGGACGACTTCTCAGCAAATTCCTCTGCTGTTGATGATGACACTCAACAAGATGCATCGGCAGATGACCTACCAGAAGGGGACATAATGGATTCTGATGCAACTGACCCCCACCCCTCATCTCCATCTGAAGATTTTTCTTCTTATGTGCAGATGGTGTCTAGAATGGCCAAGACACTTAAGATGCACACTGAACAAACCAATCCACCATCTGAGGATTTAATGTTCAGAGATATTAATCAAGAGCGTACCCCACCACTCAGCTTGGCGTTTATCCCCGCCCTTATGGACTTGATAAAAGATGCAGGGAACCAACCATCTACATCTACACCTGTATCTAGAAGAACAGAAAATTTATACCAAGTCCATGGGGAAGACACCAATTTTCTTCTGAAACATCCTGTCCCCAATTCTCTAATAGTGGTTGACAAGTTCCTCTAGGCCAAATGCTAAAGCTCACGTTACACCTACCAACAGAGAAGGGAGGAAACTAGAAGTACTTGGCAGAAAGATGTTAATTTTGTTCCTCTTCAGAGTTACTAACTACCTAACGGCTATGGGAGCCTATCAGAAACAACTATGGCTACGAGTTCTCCCAGCCCTCGTAGGATATCCGCCAGGCTTTTCTCAATACTTATGAAGAGGCCCTGACAGTCTCAAAACACCAGAGACTAGCATCTCGCCACGCAGCTGATGCTGATGTCAAGGTTCTGATGTCTGTAGTCACCTTGAGACGACATGCCTGGCTTAGAGCTAGTACAATCATGGACAATGTTAAGACTAGGATAGAAAACCTTCCCTTTGATACTAATGGCATCTTTAACGAAAAAAACTGACAGCAATCTGGATGAACTGCACAAAATGAAGAAAACAGCCAAATCCTATTCTGTACAACAACAACAACAACCAAGATTTAACAATAATCTATGGCGTAAACCTTGTGGGCACACAGCTCTCCTAAGAGAATTCTGCGGCTGGAACAGAGAGGTTCTGGGGTCCAGTGTCCTCTATAACAGTTGCGATGAGTCCTTTTTAACAGCCAGGCCGTCCCACTGACACCCTTTTCCCAAGTCTGTTCCCAATTAGCAATTAACTGAGAAAACCAAAGATAAAAACCATGAGTCTTAGAGTCTGCCAAGACTAGCAAAACTCAGATAATTAATGGACTCAAGTAGTATAATTGTGGCCTAATAAGGAAAAATAATTATGCAGGTTATCTGCTCAAGAGACCAAACATAGGTTTTTAAGAATTATTGTTTTATTAGAAAAATAAAGAATTTAGAGATATTCAGT